ATATGACTCTATTGGATGAATATTTCCCAGTCTGGCCATTCTCCTACTTCCAGCTTGCTGCTGCTTTGACACAATCAGCACATTTGGATGTGATCTCTTGCACACACGTGACAAGTTCTTCCAGGGCATCTTCCTGTGAATCATTTCTTGTTATTGGAGAGCTACCTTATCACAGTTTTGACTTTACCAATCTTGCCTACACATCCCTCCGTGCTGGGCACTGAAGATGAGGCCTGTGAATACAAGGAAGTCTCTTCTCTCATGGAACTTGTGTTCTGCAGCTGGTGGCAGGAAAGCAAATCAACTCTATGCATGCAAGCTCAACAGCCTCTCCAGCACTCAGCTTTCACATTTTACTAACCTGTTAGGTATAAAATTATACATGATTTTTTTATTTTAAAAAAGATTATTTATTTGAGAGGAAACTGGTGTCAGAAGCTGGACCCGGGTATCACACCCAGACCTCCATTGTGAGATGTGGGTGTCATAAACAGTGTTTGGCCCACGGGGCTAAACACCCACCCTGATGCATAGTTATTTTTATGATTTTCTTTCTCTGAAGTGTTCAGCAGAACTTGCTTATGAAGCCCTCAGGCTCTGGTGTGTTTTGTTTTATAGGTAGACTGTAAGCTACCAATTCAACATTTTAAAAATAGCTACAGCTCTCTAATTAGATTTTCTATTTCTTTTTGAGTCAGTTTTGGTAAGTTTCATTTTTCTAGAGAACTGTGAAGTTTGCAAATTTAGTTGCATGAAGTTTATAACATTCTTTTTTTAAAAAAAATGCTATAAATGCAGTAATTGTTTCCCTAATTCTAATTCTTGTTAGCATTAAGTCTTTTCAAAGCACTACCCGTTTGTTTCCTTGATTTTTTTCCTATCGTAACCTTGTTTTTAATTTTATATATTTCTACTCTACTATTTCCTTACTTTCACTTTCTTAAGTGCAGGCTATTGTTCCCTTTTCTAGTGTGGTTTTTAAAATTTATTTAAGATTTACTTATTTATTTATTTGAAAGAATTGCAGAGTTGGGGGGGCAGGAAGAGATCTTCCATCCACTGGCTCACTCCCCAAATGGCTGCAATGGCTGGAACGGTGCCGATCTGAAGCCAGGAGCCAGGAGCTTCCTCCAGGTCCCCCACGCGGGTGCAGGGGCCCAAGCACTTGGGCCATCTTTCATTGCTTTTCCCAGTCCATAGCAGAGAGCTGGATCGGAAGTGGAGCAGACAGGACACCAACCAGCACCCACCTGCGATGCCAGCATCACAGGCAGTGGCTTAACCCACTAACCACAACACCACTTTTTAAATTTCCAAATGTATGGTGTTACTAATTTTTCTTTTGAGAATGTGATTTGTCTGATACTGATGTGCTGCTGTCTAGGCAGAGATGGTGGCCCGATGCTTTCAGAGACCTGGGTCTCTTTCTGTTCTGTTAGCATAATTCATGGCTTCCATCACTCTTTAAAAAAAAAAAAGGCCGGCGCCGCAGCTCAATAGGCTAATCCTCTGCCTACAGCGCCGGCACAGCGGGTTCTAGTCCCGGTCAGGGCGCCGGATTCTGTCCTGGTTGCTCCTCTTCCTGACCAGCTCTCTGCTGTGGCCTGGGAGTGCAGTGGTGGATGGCTCAAGTCCTTGGGCCCTGCACCCGCCTGGGAGACCAGGAGAGGCACCTGGCTCCTGGCTTCAGATAAGCGTGGTACGCCGGCCACAGCACGCCGGCCGCAGCAGCCATTGGAGGGTGAACCAACGGTAAAAGGAAGACCTTTCTCTCTGTCTCTCTCTCTCACTGTCCACTCTGCCTGTCAAAAAAAAAAAAAAAAAAAGCTGTTGCAAAAAAAAGTTCTCGCTGTTTCTATTAGAACAGTTTGTAAGTAACAGCTCTAAGGTACACCCTACTATTTGAATATATCATGATACATAAGAAGAAATTAACAATCCAAAGTCAATATTCACAAGTTTTATCGTGAATCATTCTCATCAGCTTTATTCCCTCAAAATTCAGAGTTCAGAATCCCATTCTGGAATTGCTCATCAAAAGTCTGTGGATTCTAGCCCATTCCCCAGCTCTGGACCTGCAGAGCTGACTCCAACATGAAGCATTTGGGGGGAATATGTGCTGGGTTAAAGAATGCATAGTTGGAAAAGAACGAGTAACTAACTCCCAGCATGCTGATCTTACAAGTCCCACGCTGGAAATGGATGGCAGATGTCACAAACAGTAATTCAATACTCTCTCTAAAGAGATCAGGACTAAGACAAGGCAGGCTTACAATACAAGCATGAGCATTGTTTATTTAAGGAACGTTAATTTATTAAAAAAAATTTTTTTGGAAGACTCTTAAATGTACATATTCCTAAATCTTCTGCCTGCTCTGTTGCACATGGTATCTATGGTTCGCAGCCTGAGCGGCACTGTCTACTGGGGATAGCAGCCACTCCACACCAGATACTGTCCACAAAGCAAATCCCGATTAGGGAGCCAATGCGCATGCGTATTGGTGAGGCCGGAGTTGAAGTTCTGGGTGGATGATATGCACGATGCTTGATTGTCCCTGATCTGCACCCTTCCACCTTGCTGTAGCCAAGTCAGCACAGCTTGGGCGGGGTTGCTCAGACCTATTCCCAAAGAGCAATGACAGGGTTCCTGTGGATTCCCGGTCACATCATCTCTGCGGCGTGTGTCCAGGCCGCTCAGCGGAGGGTTCAGCAAAGCACTGTTTCCTTCCCGAAGTTGCTTTTGGAACGGCCTCGTTCTCTGCCTCTGAGCTTTGAGGATAGCCCCTCTGCTGAACTTTTCCACAGAGGCCTTGAGATTCGGCCCCACGCCCTCTCACCGGCACACCCCCATTTCCTCTCTTCTGTGTGTCAGCTCTGTGCAGCTGAAGAGTAACGAACCCAAAATACCTAAGTAACAAATGAGTCACCACGCTCGCTCGCACAGCAGAGCTCTGCTGATCAACGGATGTGTTGGGGGTAAACAGCAGAGGAGGTGGCTGCCCAGAGAGAGAGAGAGAGAGAGAGAGGGAGGGAGGGAGAAAAATAGAAACCAAGTGAACAAGTTGGCAGAGGTAGCTTAGAGCCGCTGAGGGGGTGGAGGGGCGGGGAACTTGGTTGGCTTGCAAAGGTGAGATCAGCGCCTCAGCTTGTCACACCCTGGCTGACTCAGGCTAAGCCCGGGCCCCTCAGGACCTGCGAACACTCGGCTGCCTAGGAGAACTCAGCTGGACCCATCGCTTACTGCAGTCCGCTCGTGTTTACAAAGCGCTGAGTCCTAGGGCTTGGAATTCTTTGTTCAAGTGACTTACAGAGCCTGCAGTGACAGTCCTCCGGGGCCATTCCTTTCCTGCTTACGTGTAGCTGGGTGACAAGAGTCAGGGCAGAATCTAAACTTTTTTCTTGTTTCTAGAATGCCTGCCTCGTTTTCCCAAAACCTTATCTTGAAGTGTAACAGCGGATCCGGTTGACCTCCCTGAGCCCAAGGCTGCAGGCAGCCCTGGAGGTGACCATGACGAGTGACTGAGAGGCCGTGCTTCTGCTGAGGGATCCTGGAGGCTGCCCGGTCAGGGCCAGCTTTGCTCAGAACCCAGAGGGTATATGTCCTAGGTGCTGAGGACGTGACTCCTACTTTTCACAGTTTTCTAAGTAAAAAAGGAGTAAAGTGATCTTAGTACCCGGAACACACCTGCTGAGCTGATTTCGTAGGGCTCTGCCTCACCAGCCCACAGTCGAAGCTGTCACAAGAGAACAGGAAGATAAACCACACGTGCAAGGAACACAGGTTACAAGGCATCAGGCCCGAGAATGTCACACGACTGCCAGGGGAATTTTTTGGAGGAAAAAAATGATAAACCGTCCCCTGAGATAGGCTGTTTTGGATCCCGAGGGTGACACGGTTTGATCACAAGTCATCTGGTTCTCTCTTAGGTTCAAACCAGGAAGTTCAGGCACGTGCTTAAAACCAGAAGAAATAAAAAAAACCCAGTTGATTTGGATTTTCAAGCCGCTAGCCTCGTTCCGCTTCACTGGAGCCTGCAGTGGGGGCTGCCGTCAACCTCTGGGTTTATCTGCTGCAGCTCCCCACCCCTATCCCGCATAAGCAGAAAACCAGATGCCATGACTTGCAAAAAGCAAAGCTCTACCTCAAGAGGCGAGGCTTTGGCAGCTACAAAGAAAACGGCTCTAGCCCTGGGAAGAGACCAGATTCACGCCTTGATAAAGGTGAATGCTCCGGTCCCCGTGAAGTTCCCTCAGAGCACTGCCTCTGCTCGCTTCCGCTTCGGCTCGGCTGAGTCCGTGGGTGAATAGTGAAAAGTCCTCTCTGGAAAGGATACACGAAAATCTTCTCAGGAGGTCCATGTCCTTGACCTCAGAAGACTTGATTTCAAATTGCTTTTTATTTTTCTATCTATTTTTTTATTTATGTTACAGGTAGAGTTATAGACATTGAGAGAGACAGAGAGAAAGGTCTTCCTTCCACTGGTTCACTCCCCAAATGGCCGCCACGTCCTGCGCTGCACCGATCCGAAGCCAGGAGCCAGGTGCTTCTCCTGGTCCTCCCATGCGGGTGCAGGGCCCAAGCACTTGGGCCATCCTCCACTGCCCTCCTGGGCCACAGCAGAGAGCTGGCCTGGAAGAGGAGCAACCAGGACTAGAACCCGGCGCCCATATGGGATGCCGGTGCCACAGGCGGAGGATTAACCTAGTGAGCCACGGCGCCAGCCCCTCAAATTGCTTTTTAAAACTATGTAAATAATACGTGTTTGTTATAAAAATAAAATTACAAACAAGAAATTAGCCATCATTTCAACCCTCAGCGGCTAACAGTTTAGGGTGTTTCCTTCCTGTCACTTTATGGACCTTCTTTTAACCCAGCTGCACTCCTGTTCCAGGCTTAGAATCATGCATGCTACTTTTGCTAAATTTATCTTATTCATTTTCCCTGTCATTCTATGGACAATTATGCAACTGTAAATACTTTTTTTAAATGATTTGTTTATTTGAAAGGCAGAACAATTGGGAAAGAGAGACAGGGAGGGAAGGAGGGAGGGAGAGGGAGAGGGAGATCTTCTATCTGCTGGTTCACTGAGTCACTCCCCAAATGGTCACAAAAGCCAGGGCTGGGCCCCACCAAAGCCAGGATCCAGGAACTCCATCAAGGTCTCCCATGTGGATGGCAGGGGCTCAAGGACTTGGGGCATCTTCTACTGCTTCCCAGGGGCATCAGCAGGGAGCTGGATTAGAAGCAAAGTAGCCAGGACTATAACCAACACTCCAATATGGGATACCTATGATAAAGGCAAGGCTTAACCCGCTGAACCACAACACCAGCCCTGCAACTACAATTATTAATGGTTGCCTAGCAATCCATAGAGCTATGGATTGCTCATGGAGCAACCCTATGTTTGGGACAGTAAATTTGTTTCCAGGTTTTAAAACTGTAAGTCTTTATTTAGTTAACATACTCCATTTGGAGATTTTTGCACCAGCCCCACCACTCAACCATGTGACAAATCCTACCAATGTGTGGATCAGTGGCATGAAGGTTTCAGGAGGAATGTGCAGGACGGTCAGTGGGAGCTGTCACTGCAGCCTCCTTGGGGGAATCTAGCCTCTCTTGAGCTACAAGACTCATGGATTCCCAGTTCGAGGGTATTGAAGAATGTAACCAGCCTTCTTGCTGTGCGTCTCCCTGTCAAACATGACCGAAGAATCCCATCTTCAGTGCAGCATTTCCAATCTCCTTGGAGAAAAGAGATCATATTTCCAGTGAATAAAAACAAAAGTAAAAGGGTTCCCATTGTAACATAGCAGGTTGAGCCGCCACCTGCAATCCCGACATCCCGTATGGGTACTGATTCGATCCAGATCCAGATCTGATCCAGATCCCTGAGAATGTGCCCAGGAGGCTGGCGCCGCAGCTCACTAGGCTAATCCTCCACCTTGCGGCGCCGGCACACCGGGTTCTAGTCCCGGTTGGGGCGCCGGATTCTGTCCCGGTTGCCCCTCTTCCAGGCCAGCTCTCTGCTGTGGCCAGGGAGTGTAGTGGAGGATGGCCCAGGTGCTTGGACCCTGCACCCCATAGGAGACCAGGAAAAGCACCTGGCTCCTGGCTCCTGCCATCGGATCAGTGCAGTGTGCCGGCTGTAGCGTGCCGGCCGCGGCGGCCATTGAAGGGTGAACCAATGGCAAAGGAAGACCTTTCTCTCTGTCTCTCTCTCTCTCACTGTCCACTCTGCCTGTCAAAAAAAAAAAAAAAAAAAAATGTGCCCAGGAAAGCAGCAGAAGATGGCTCAAGTCCTCAGGCTCTTGCACTCACATGGGAGACCCACATGGAGTTCTAGGTTCCTGGCTTCAGCCTGGCCCAGTCCTAGCAGTTGTGGCCATTTGCAAAGTAAACCAACAGATGGAAGACCTTTCTCTCTTTGTCTCTGCCTCTCTTTCTGTGACTCTGCCTTTTAAAGAAATAAATAAAGTCTTTTTACAAAAAAAAAAAAAAAAAAAGTAAAGCAAAGAATAGGGACAATACATGACAAATTGAAAATCTTATTTTTTAATTTTTAAAATGTATTTATCTTGTATATTTTAGAGGCAGAGAAATACACAGAGAAAGAGACAAATCATACATCCACTGGTTCACTCACCAAATGCCTGCAACATCTGGGGCTGGGCCAGGCCAAAGCTGAGGGGCAGGAACTCAATCTGGGCCTCCCACATGAGTGGCAGAGGCCCTCACTGCTGTCTCCCAGGGTGCACATTAGCAGGAAGCTGGAATCAGGAGCAGAGCCAGGACTCCAACCCAGGCACTCTGTTGTGGGATGCAGGTGTTCCGAGGCATCCTAATCACCTACCACAAACAACTCCTCCCAAATATGTTTTTTTAAAGATTTATTTATTTATTTGAAAGCATTACAGAGAAAGAGAGGCAGAGGCAAAGGCAGAGAGAGGGAGAGGTTTTTCATCCTCTGGTTCACTCCCCAAATGGCTACAACCAACCAGGGCTGGGCCAGGCAGAGGCCAGGAGCCAGGAGCTTTGTCAGGGTCTTCCATGTGGGTGCAGGGACCCAAGCACTTGAGCCATCTTCTGCTACTGTCCCAGACCCATTAGCAAGGAGCTGGGTTAGAAGGGAAACAGCCGGGACTTGAATTAGCTCCTATATGGGATGCTGGTGCTGTCAGGAAGCAGCTTTTACCCGTTATGCCACAGTGACAGCTCCCCCCCACCCCAAATCTTATTTTTAAGAAGAAAATACAATAGTAGCTCTCATTCTGGTTTCTTTGTTAGAAGAAAAAAATGTATATTATCTGAGAAGCGGAGAGAAAATCCTCAACCACATTTTCATTCCCAAAATGCTGGAAGTAGTTAGGGCCAACATAAGAGATGGGAATGCAAACCAGGTCTCCAACATGGGTGGCAGGAACCTAATTACCTAAGTCATCACCACTGTTCCCAGAGTCTGCCTTCTCAGGAAGCTGGAGCAGAGCCAAGGCTGGGAATCAAACACAAGCACTTGGACGTGGGACATGGGTGTGTTAATCCCTAGGCTAAATGCCTGCCCCGTTATTCTGAATTCTCTTGGGCTCCCCTGGTTAGGTTACTTGCTGGAGAGGTGTGCTTTGAGCTGCAGAGTTAGGGCAGCAGAAGCAGACAGACATGGCATCCGTCAAGATGGGTAGCCGGCTGCAGATAAAGTTTATCATTTGTCAGATAGTTCACAGCTGCATGCTTGAATTCTTGCAAACGCTGTTTTCTTTCAAAGCCAAGTCCTACATCATACAGAATACAGTTCCTGAGCAATTAGAGAGTGTGCTCTGTCATAAGCCCTTTCTAGTGATTCTTTCACTTAGAATCTCAGTAAACCAGAGTTGGATTCTTTTCTCCATTTTGTGTACAAGATCATTAAACAGGAGCAAGGGAAAATAAATAAATAAGTAAAATAAACAAAATAACTCACAGGGGAAGTGGCTAATAAATGTTTGAGTGAAGACTGGATCCCAGGGCTGACTTCAAAACTCGTGGTCTTGGGGCTAGCACTGTGGGGTAGCAGGTAAAGCCACTGCCTGCAGTGCTGGCATCCCATATGGGTGCCGGTTTGAATCCTGGCTGCTCCACTTCCGATCCAGCTCTCTGCTATGGCAGTAGAAGATGGCCCAAATCCTTGGGCCCCAACACCCATGTGGGAGACCCAGAAGAAGCTCCTGGCTCCTGGCTTCAGATCAGTGCAGCTTTGGCTGTTGGGGCCATCTGGGGAGTGAACCATCGGATGGAAGACCTCTCTCTGGCTCTCCTTCTCTCTCTGTGTAATTCCGACTTTCAAATAAATAAATAAATCTATCTTTTTTTTTTTTTTTTTTTTTGACAGGCAGAGTGGACAGTGAGAGAGAGAGACAGAGAGAAAGGTCTTCCTTTGCCGTTGGTTCACCCTCCAATGGCCGCCGCGGCCGGCGCGCTGCGGCCGGCGCACCGCGCTGATCCGATGGCAGGAGCCAGGAGCCAGGTGCTTTTCCTGGTCTCCCATGGGGTGCAGGGCCCAAGCACCTGGGCCATCCTCCACTGCACTCCCTGGCCACAGCAGAGGGCTGGCCTGGAAGAGGGGCAACCAGGACAGAATCCGGTGCCCCGACCGGGACTAGAACCCGGTGTGCCGGCGCCGCTAGGCGGAGGATTAGCCTAGTGAGCCGCGGCGCCGGCCAAATCTATCTTAAAAAAAAAAAAACAAAAACAAAACACAAAACTTGTGGTCCTTGCACTCTATCATGCCACCTCTTTTGTTAATCTTAACAGATAAACATGCTTGCAGTAAAAACTGAGTTAATACATATTGATTGGAAGTGGGGTTGGATTCAGCATTGTGGCTTCACGAGAAAAGCCACTTCTGCAAACCCAGCATCCCCAGATGAACTGGTTCACAGCCTGACTGCTCCATTTCTGATCCAGCTCCCTCATAATGGTCTGGGAAAAGCTGCGGGAGATGAGCCAAGTGTTTGGGCCCCTGCCACCCATGTGGGAGACCTAGCTGGAGCTCCTGGTTCCTCATTTCAGTCTGACCTAGTGTCGGCTGCTGTGACCATCTGGAGAGTGAACCAGTGGATGGAAGTTCTCTGTCTCTCTCCCTGTTCTCCATCAAGGGGCCCTTAGAGATGACCCATGGAGACAAGAGGTCAGTCAAGTCGACTATTGATGAAGAACCCTTCTATGGAGCTCCTAAAGACCCCAAGGAGGCTCTGAGAATCAGAACAGCTTCTACCTCCCATTTTCTCCAAGGCTAGACCTTGAGACATGTGATTTTTGGTAGAAATGGACATTATTACTTTTACAGAACTTTTTTTAAAGATTTTTATTTATTTATTTAAGAGGCAGAGTTACAGAGAGAGACAGAGAGAAAGATCTTCCATCCTCTGGTTCACTCCTGAAATGGCTGCAACAGCCGGAGTTGTGCCAATCTGAAGCCAGGAGCCAGGAATTTCTTCCGGGTATCCCACGCAGCTGCAGGGGCACAAGGACTTGGGCCATCTTCTACTGCTTTTGTAGGCCATAACAGAAACCTAGATCGGAAGTGGAGCAGCCAGGATGAGAACCGGAGCCCACGCAGGATGCCAGCACTGCAGGCAGTGGCATTACCTGCAATGCCACAGCACTGGCCTCTCCTCAGAATAATTTAATGAATGGTTAGACCATATGGTAAGTGCCTGTTTTCCCACTAGGCTTGAGTTTTTAATGCCAGGGACCATGTCCATCTTGTTCTTTGCTATATCCCCACTCCAAGTACTGTACTGGGTCCATAGTAGAATGTCTTAAGGCTGCTGTTACAGAGTATCATAGACTAAATAGTATCACAGATACTTGTTGCAGCTCTGGAGGCTAGAAAGGTCAAGGTCAAGGTGTTGGGGAACTCAGTGTCTGTTGAAGACCAGCTTCCTGGTCCACGGACAGCAGCCTTCTCCCTGTGTCCTTGTGTGGCAGAAGGGGAAAGGGAGCTCTCTGGGGTCTCTTTTATCTTTAACAACAACAAAAAAAAACTATGTATTTGAGAAATGGCTATGTGCAGGGGAGGGGAGGGTGAGGGGGTGGAGAAGAGAGCTCTTAGCCACTGGCTTACTCCCCAAATTCCCACAATGGCTAGGACTGGGCAGGGGCCAGAGCCAGAAGCCAAGAACTCAACCCACTGTGGATGGCATGAACCCGATCATCTGAGCCATCACTACTGCCTCCCGGGGTCTGCACTAGCAGAAGTCAGGAGCCAGAACAGGGCGTCGAATCCAGGAGGCATCTTAATCAACGTCTTAACCATTAGGCCAAACGATCACCCCTGGGGTCTCTCCTATAGGGACACTGGTCCTGTTCATCAGGATTCTACCTCCAATTACCATCACAGCAGGGACTGGGTTCCAACACATGAACCTGGGAGCACATGCAGCCTCCAATATAGATGGCCAAGAAAGTCTGTCGAATGAATGAAAAGTATCTGGGCCAAATGCGTAGGCTGGAGTTAAGGATGACTCATGATCAATTCCCCTTGCATAGATGTATTTCTCAGAATACACAGTCTGAGTTGAGATGGCCCAAGGCCCAAATCGAGAGAGGTCAGGGAGTGTGTAGAATCAGTTTCCACTTCTTGTAGTATTCACAATAAGACTGGTTATCAGCGTGAAGCCATCTGAAATGAGAAGTGAAGAGTTTCCTTTTCTCCCCTGCCCTGCCTGGCAACATGGAGTGAAGATAAACTTTTGTTCCTCTCTCTTCTCCTGGATTCCTTAATCAAATCGGATTTATGCTAGGCTTAGGAAGACAAGCCCTCCTGTGAGCGTTTACAGCTTCCTGCTTGTTTCCCAAAGGGACAATTTGGGCTGAAAGTGTGCATTAAGCCCAGTCTTTAAGCAATTAATAATGTGCTCAAGAAGTAAAAAGGACGAACGTTACAAGTGGATTTTGTCATAATCCCATATCTCCCAAATGTGTAAGCCCCGGGAAAGTCCAGATCCCCAGCAGAAGCCCATCTGCTGTATTTCTGGTGTGCTACTCCTCTGTTTATATTTGCTCATTTCTCTTATGCGGTGCCAGGAGAGGAAAAGTGATATTTTAGAAATTCATCTGCTCGTATTTATGCAAACACATTGCTCTCCAAGTGTGGGTTGAGCGATGTGAGTAAAGCAGACACAAATGTCTCTGACAGGCCACCGAGTAATAAAGAGAAGGGAAGATACACACCTAGAACATCTGATGCTGTGGCCAAGGACCAGCCTCGCTCGGCAGGGGAGAACCGCTGGGATGGGAACCCCAGATCTGAAGGCTCGCTGGAGTCTGTCAATGAATGCGTCTCGAGCCTCTAGTGTGTGCTCACCAGTTTGGGGATCTTAAAAGCTTAAGATTTCCAGTTGAGAACACAACAGGAGATAATTATGCGATGGCATGCTACAGACATAAAAAAGCCGACCCTCAGTTAGGTACCACCCTTTGCTAAGTGTTCCACATACATTATTTCAATTATCCTACAAGGTTGTTGTCTTCATTTTTCAGACCAAGCCCCGTGGTGGCCATATGCTTTGCTTTCAAGGTTATATACCTTAGGTTGTTTTGCAAATTCATGCTCTTTCTCCTATATTACACACAAGAAGTTTCTAAGGTTTAAAATCTGAAATTATACATGTTTCTACAGCTAACATTTGATGAATGCCTACTCTGAGACAGGGAAAAGTCTAAGTTCTTGAAAAATGACCTTGAGCTTTATAACCACACTAGAAGAAAGTACTGCTATTATCCCATTTTAAGGCTGAGGAAGCTAAGTTTACCTACAAGTCACATTGTCTGAATCACAAGGAAATATCAGGGCCTAGTCTTAGATCCAGGGTTCATATAGTTACTCACACACTATGCTATCTCTTTTTGAAGGAGTTCCTTTTGTCAAGGATTTATTTATTTATTTGTTTGTTTGAAAGGCAGAGTTACAGAGAGGGAGAGAGAGTGAGAGAGAGAGATCTTCCGTCTACTTATTCGCTCCCCAAATGGCCACAATGGTCAGGCCTGGGCCAGGCTGAAGCCAGGAGTCAGGAGCTCCACCCAGGTCTTCCACGTGGGTGGCAGGGGCCCAAGTATTTGGACCATTTCCACGGCTTCCCCAGGCATGACAGCAGAGTGGAGGAGAACTTTTAAGCACATTCCACTACACATACCCTCTTCAATGATCCCAAGCCCACATTGCAATAATAGGGACAATTCTCAGCAAACACAGTGTTTCCATTCCTTTTACAATTCCTCTTTTTCAGCCTGCACCCTAGAGTGCCTCACCTGTAGACATAATGCCTCAGCAGGTCAGGGTTGTTACTGAGGACAGCTTGAAAAACAAACTGGGGAGGCCAGCACTGTGGTGCAGTAGGTAAAGCTGCCACCTGCAGTGCCAGCATCACATATGGGCGCTGGTTTGAGTCCTGGCTGCTCCACTTCCAATACAGCTCTCTGCTGTGGCCTGAGAAAGCAGAAGGAGATGGCCCAAGCCCTTGGGCACTTGCACCTGCGTGGGAGACCCAGAAGAAGCTCCTGGCTCCTGGCTTCGGATCTGTGCAGCTCCGGCCGTTGCGGCCAACTGGAGAGTGAACCAGCGGGTAGAAGACCTTTCTCTCTCTCTCTCTCTCTGCCTCTCTCTTCTCTCTTTTTCTTTCAACTAAATAAATAAATCTCTAAAAAAAAAGAAAGAAAAACAAAAACTGGGTATTCTATATTCTTCCAAAGTTCAAGAATAAAGTCTCCTGAACTTGGTCCTTAAGGTTCTGCCTTAGAGTCAAGAGATGATTTCTCCACTTCCCATGATGGAGGCTAGCAGGCTTCCTCACCCAGCTGATGCTAGGAGAACTCGGGCATGGCCATATGCCCTGTAGGGCAGCCCCATGCCCTCTCCAGCCTCCTCCTTGAAGAACGAAATAAACTAGAGAATATCAAAGGTGCCAGAGTTCCTTCCTCGTTCCTCCTGGGAGACTTGCTGTGGTGGCTCCACACTACTCAGTTTAAGAGGGCAGAGCACGGAGGGGAGGGGCCAGGAGACCCAGTCTCAGAACCCCAAGTGCCACTTAGGGAGAAGCAAGCAGAAGCAGCAGGGAGTCTGAAAGATGGCACCTTATCCCAAAGATACACAAGTTAAGCCTCAAGAAACTGTTTAAATCATTGAGTCACAATGAAAAAAAAAAACTCTATGAGCTAAACTTAGTTTTTCCCTCTTGCTCCCCAGCAGGTGAGGGCTCATAAAGGACATCAGAGTGATTTAGAGAAAAAATGAAACTATTTTCTTTACACATCAGAGCAGAGTGAGTAATTTTGCGACCCTGGCTTGCACACGAAGGGCTGGCAGATGTGAGTTTCAGTAGCCAAAATCAAGAGCTGAGGCTGCAGCGGTCTCACCCCCCTCCCCAGACGGCGGGGGGCGGGATCCTGGCAGACCTGTCTTTGAGGGTCTCTTCTCTCCCCAGCGGGGCCCTGGTTCCTATACTCAGACAGTACAGGAACACATATGCTAATCTTCACCACAACGTTCGGCACGGGTCAGCCACCTGCGTTTCTTGGGTTAGACCTGTGATGCTGCTAAGGTTTCTGGTGTCCAAGGAGTGAGATTCCAGCCACTCCCCAGTACCTGTGGGTGTCCAGGACAGTGACCCCACCAGACGGTGGTCACCTACCCTAAGAGGAAGGTGCTGACGGCCAGCCGAGGAGCAGGAAAGGGAGGAAGAACGCTATGTAATGAAGCACTCAGGACTTAAAGCCACAGACTCATCCAGCAAGTCAATGTGTATTTGTGAGAGAGCCTTTGTGCTCTATGTGGCAAAAGGTTGTGGCACTCTAGAAATAGAAAATGAGAACAGAACATTATTTTCCAAGTACAGAAACAACCCTCCTACCTTCAGGCAAGCTTCCTTGATGGCGGGTAACAGAAAAGGTCATTGGTAGGCATCCAGGTTTGAAGTTCAAATCCCACTTTTACAACCTCCTTCCTGTGTAATCTTGGGCAAGTTTCTTAACCTCTCTGTGCCTTTCATCTGTAAAATGGAGAAAATAATATCTCTCTTACAGGGTTGTTGGAGGGTTAAATAATATATATGAAGCCTATTGAATAATGCCTGCGTGTGAGCCCTCAATCCATTTGGCTATTATTATTTTTATGACAAAGGTAAGAATAGTATGAATTTTCAGGTTCCTCTAGTTTAGGGCACCCCTAAATTTATTGATAAATGATTAAGGGTAAATTCTAATGGAAGTTTCAGTAAAGGAGTCACAGAGCGTCTCCCTCCATAAGCCGTCACCCTTTGCTGGGACATGTACCCCACATCCTGGGAACAAATGCGTTCATGCAGTGAGGCAGGTCCCTGGCCTAACAAGGCTTTTGGACAACCACTGGCGCCATGGCCTTTGCTGTCAAGGAAGATGCTCTGGCGACCGTGTTGAATAAGAAGACAGTCGAATCCCGTATGCAAAAGGCTGATTGGAGTCCCAGCTGCTCTGCTTCCGATCCAGCTCCCCGCTAACCTGCCTGGGAAAGCAGCAGAAGATGGTCCCAGTACTTTGGCCCCTGTCACCCAGGTGGGCAATCAGGATGGAGTTCCAGACTCATGTTTTTTTGCTGAGGTTGCAGCCATTTGGAGAGTGAACCAACAGATGGAAGGTAGCTTGCTCGCTCTCTCTCTCTCTCTCTCTCTCTCCCTTTGCTCTCTCTCTCTTACTCTGCCTGTCAAATAAATTTAAAAGAAGAAAAAGAAGACAGTACACCATTTCCTCCCGCAGGCTGAGTTCAGGACCAAGTCCATCTTCACTCTAGATGGGCAGTTCTACAGAGTGACAGGCAAGAAACCGGGCTTTGGAATCAGAGAGCCTTGGGTTTTAAATTGGGACTTCAGGGGCCAGCGCTGTGGTGTAGTGGGTAAAGCCACCACCTGTAGTGCCGGCACCCGCATATGGGCGTTGGTTTGAGTCCTGGCTGCTCCACTTCTGATCCAGCTCTCTGCTATGACCTGGGAAAGCAGTAGAAAATAGCCCAAGACCTTGGGCCCCTGCATCCACGTGGGAGACCCGGAAGAAGCTCCTGGCTCCTGGCTAGCTGGCTTCAAATCAGCGCAGCTCCGACCTCTGACCAATGTGGCCAACTGGAGAGTGAACCCACGGATGGAAGACCTCTCTCTCTCTCTCTGCCTCTTCTTCTCTCTGTGTGTAACTCTGACTTTCAAATAAATAAATAACTAAATAAATATTAAAAAAAATTAGGGCTTCATAGCTTATGAACCACATAAACCCAAAAGAATTATCCTTACAAATGGGGATAATAATACCTACCTAGTAGGGTCTCGTAGGGGAGGATTCAATGCAATTCTTGAACACAGAGTTGGCACTTAATAAACGTCGGTTCCCTCTGCCTCTTCCTCCCATTCCTGCTAAGACCCAGAGTTGGGCTGCTCAGTGGGCAAGGCACATGTATCAAATGGTGCAGCAACTTAATTTCTTCCCATTTTTCTAAGGCAAGAGGATGAGAGGAAATGAGCAACCAATTGGTTTAGCTTTTCCTACCTGTTGACCCTCTTCTTCTAGCACTTAAAAAGATGATCAAAATCCAGCCGATACTGGATGATCTTCAACAACCTGGGAATAGGCATCCCACTACTCTCTATTGAAGGTGGAGACAAAGAAGGCCTCAGGAGAATCTGCTCCCTCCAGCCCCTGAACTTGAACCCAACACCAAGGGAGGGGTGCAGACAGGTTGGCCATGGCCCTGTGCTATCTCGTCACCAAGGAGGAGGCAGTGGAAGTCCTGCTGGCTCCCTAGCAGAGCTGTCAGGATGAAACTGAGTCTCCAAGCTCATCACCAATCCTGTGTTTATTCACAAAAACACAGCCCCTCTGCTTTCTCTCTGGTTTCCATTCAAGCGCCCAACCACGCAGCTCCGTGGGGCCTCGCTCTGCTTCCCTACACAACCCACTCCCTTCAGCTGCCAGAGAGCCTTCCTGAGTTGAAGCAGAGGCTGAGGATGTGCCCCCCCCCCCCCCCCCCCGCCATGGGAGACTGAGCTGCTGACACACAGGAGCGCTGGTGCGGGAAAGTACCGTGGTGGAATCAAAAAGCCACTTCCCAGAGATGAGGGGAGGACTATAGGTTGGTTTCCTGGGACACCACCAATCTAGTCCAGGACCTTGAAACCCGCATCTCAGCCCTGTGTCCTTCTATGCCTCAGTTTCCCAGTATGTGGACAGGGTAATGACCACCTTGGAAAATTGCTACCCATTGCCCAACCTGTCATCATTCTAAGTGTGACTGACTTGACCAACTTCAGAAAGCTGTGAGAGGTAATTAGTACTTACTGTGTACTCTGAGTTGAAAGATTCCCAGAGGACGGAGAGCTGAGGCAGCTTGTAATGAGTTCATGTTGTGCAGTAAAGTTTCAACAGAATATTTCTTTAGTTTCTAAGTTAGCCTTTCATTTTTGTCAAGGTAGAAAGGATTAGGTAACAATTGTTTAATTTTTTTTTCCTTTGCAAAACACTTTCTTCCTTTCTCCTTCCAATTTGGGCATCAACAGCTGTGCTGAAATACAAAGCCACTGCTCCCAGCTGAGACGCTCAGGACGGCAGTTTAAAAAGAGGTAAACGGGGGCGGTTGCTGGTGCAGCAGTTAAGGCACCACCAGGCACGTGCACATTCCATATTGGAGTACCTGGGTTCTAGTCCTGACTCTGGGCTGCAGATTCCTGCTTCCTGCTAATGCATACTCTAAGAGGCAGCAGGTGATGGCTCAAGTACTTGGGTCCCTACCACCCATACAGAACTCCTATATGAAGTTCCAGGCTTCTTGCTTCAGCATTTGGGGAGTGAAAGAGGATGATCACTCTCTCTCCCTCTCTCTCTCTCTCTCTCTCTGCCTTTCACATAAACAAAAATAAATAAATGAATACAATTTTAAAAGTAGTGAATATCTTTTAGTCTGTTCTTCCTATCATGCCAACAAGGTGGGTTGTAACTAGCTTTTTGTTGTTGTTTTATTTCCTTCTCTTTTTTAACAAATGCAAGTAAAATTTGCTGGACTGCAACTCTGTGAGATCCTGCCCCTCTTGAACCCAAGGGTTGTCTTTGCCTCCTGCTGCACGCTCCGAGGAGCGTTGTTTCAGATCACTTAAGACACGTAGACATTTATTTGCTCCTCTGCACAGCCCCAGGAGCACGAGAGGAACACACTTACAAAGATCATTCGTGATGTGCTGTCCCAAACCTCCGTTGTAAGAGATGCAAAGTGGGCTGGAGTCAGCCTTGGCTGCTCTTCTGAGAAGCAGCGTGAACAGGAGGAAGTGGGTGAGCGAGAAGGGGCCTTGTGGCTGCGGCGGTGACTCCATCCGCAAAGTCAGCACCTCCAGCCCGAGGAAGGCAGCACGGAGCCGAGCAGTGCTCTGCACTGAAGCCGCCCTATCTCCACATCAGCAGGGCTCGTGGGCCAAGTCTCTGCACACTGTCCGCACCCCCCGGGCGCTGGCGGTGACACAGGCATGCTTTGAAGTTGGCCAACTGTTTCTTGAAGGACTCAAGCCTGTCTCTCCTTCTCACCTTCTCAATGTTCAAGTACTTTGGGGCCAGAGGGAGGCGTCAACACTCTCTAGTGCTACTTGAAATGGAATTCCCGATGGCAGGATGTTCACACTTGGGCTTAAAACAAAACAATTAAACTCATCATCATCATCCAAGTAATTAACAAAAATATTTCCCCACCCCCACCCCCACCTCGGTGGTCTTGGTTTTGATTGCTGACAGTGCTATCGTTTTTACCCAATTCCTATTTTGTATTTTCATTTGCCTTGCTTGGTGTCCTCTTCCTTGTTCTTCCTTTTGTACCAACCTATCGACCACCTTTATCCCACGATATGGTTGGAGAATGAAATCCCTTTCTTTCATGTTTATCCTGAAAACAATGAAAAGTCACAGTCCCCCATCAAAAGTGATCAGCAGGGGCAGGCGTTGTGGCACAGTGAGTTAGGCTGCCACTTGGGATGCCTGCATCCCATATCAGTGTCTGGTTCTAGTCCTGGCTACTCTGCCTCCGATCCAGCTTCCTGCTAAAGAGCCTGGGAGGCAGCAGATGATGGCCCAATTACTTAGTTTCCTGCCACTCATGTTGGAGACCTGGATCGAGTTCCTGGTTTCTGGCTATAGCCTGTCCCAGCCCTGGCTACTGTAGGCATTTGGGGAATGAACCAGTGGATGGAGGATCTTTCTCTGTCACTCTGCATTTCAAATAAATAAATCTTAGGAAAAACAACAACAACAGGTGATCAGCAATATGCTTTGTTTGTTTTTTTTTTTAAAGATTTTATTTATGGGGCCGGTGCTGTGGCGTAGTGGATAAAAACCGCTGCCTGCAGTGCTGGCGTCCCATGTGGGTGCTGGTTCAAGTCCTGGCTGCTCCACTTCCAATCCAGCTCTCTGCTATGGCCTGGGAAAGCAGTAGAAGACGGCGGTTTTCACCCGCTACGCCACAGCACCGGCCCCTAGCAATGTGCTTTGACGCACCCTGAGGGCACCTGGCACTGTGTTTATTTCCACTTCTGTGACTCAGCACCCCCTGGGCGCCATGCTGTATACTGCTTTGGGGTCAGTCGTGAGATGAAGACCTACCACTGGAAGTTCAACTTAGTAATAATAATTCTCCATTGAATTCAGATGATTGACACATTTTCTTGTGGCCAGTAATTAGTGACCAGCTAGGGCTAAGGTGGTCTCTAAACTTCGGGTTTGCCTGCTTAATTCTAATAACAGCCAGCAAAGGTAGGGGAGACAGAAACAGCTTCCCCTGTGAGGTGTTGGGCATAGATGGTCTGCTAACAATGGTGGTTTTCCCATGTTTGTAGTTTGCCAATCATTTTGGCAGGATAAAAATCCCTAAGGAGCAATTTACCCCATGGACTGTCACTTGCCAGTGTAAAAAAAAAAAAAAAAAATTGAGAATAAAAAACAAAGCTTTTACAGAGGATAGGGCTGATTTGTTTGGATCCTCAGGGCCTAAGTTCTCAAAAAATATTTATTGAGGTCATTTTATTTCTCGGAGGGTCTAATGATAAGCAATTTTCCAATGATTTCAGTCTTGGTGCTATGCTGTGCTTGGAGAATAAATCTCTACCTTAAGTACAGTCAGATGACTGTGGGCAGACTAACTTCTCCTTATTAATATTATTATCTTAGTGTTTATTAATTTTTCTTTATTTGAAAAGAGAGAGAGAAAGCTGACTTATTCCCGAATTCTGCTGATTTATTCCCAAAATGCATGCAATATGGAGTTAAGCCAGTCCAAAGCCAGGAGACAGAAACTCAGTCTAGGTCTCCCATCTGGACTGGACCCAAGTACTTGAGCCATCACCTGCTGCCCACCAGGGACTGCATTAGCAGGAAGCTGGAATCAGGATGCCAGAGCCAGGACTAGAACCCAGGTACTATGGTATAGGATGTGGGCATCTTAACTGGTATCTTAACTGGTATCTTAACCACTAGACCAAATACCCGCTCCAGACTTCTCCATCTTTTTTTTTTTAAGACTTATTTATTTGAAAGGCAGAGTTACAGAGAGAGAGAGAGAGAGAGAGAGAGAGAGAGAGAGAGAGAGATTCTATCCGCTGGTTTATTCCCCAAATGGCTGCAGAAGCCATGGCTGGGCCAGGCTGAAGCCAGAATCCAGAAGCTTCTTCTGGGTCTCCCACATGGGTAGCAGGAGTCCAAACACTCGGGCCATCTTCTGCTGCTTTCCCAGGCACATTGGCAGGGAGCTGGATCAGAAGTGGAGCAGCTGGGCTATGGGATGCTGAAGTCGCCATCAGTGGCTATACACGCTACACCACAACACCGGCCCCTTCTACATCTTTTAAAAACAATTTTTTTTATTTGCAAGACAGAGACAGAAAGAATGCACAAGCTCCCAACTGCTGGCCCAGTCTCCAAATGCCCTCTGTGGTCCCTGGCTCTGACAGAAGCCAGGAGCTAGGATGTCCCACGTGGGTAGCAGAATCCCAAGTACCTGAGCCCTCGCTGCCGCTCTCCAGAGTCCGCATCACCACGAAGCCAGAGTCAGAAGCCAGGTGTTGAACCCAGGGGCTCAGGTACGGGTCGGGGGCCTCCTCCTTGGTTTCTCCACAGCTAAGCCAATGCCTGTCCCCTTGCGCATTTTCACGACACATGACACGGAAGGAGCAGCAGTCGGCTGAGTCCCTCAAATGCTTGTCACTCACTGATTGGTCCGCTGAGGATCTGTTTAAAATGTTTCTTTCTAGAAAGAGAGGAGGGAAGAAAAGAGGGTCCAAAGTGGTCACCAAAATAGCCAGAAACAGGCTAAAATCTTGGCCTAAGGGACGGACCTGGGCAGGAGGATCAGAGCAGTGCTTTTCTGAGGTCACATCAGCAATTCCCTGGGCCACAGCTTTCTCTCGCTCAGGATGCAATTTGTTCAGGCAGTGCAGCTGGGGGCAGCAGGGCTTCGGATATAAAAGTGCTGGCTGGTAAGAGAAAATCAAAATAATCCCCATTAAGCTCCCATTATCTTGAAAATTAGAAACTCTAATGAGAGGCTTCCAGGATGAGCTGAGCAGTAGGAGAGCACCCCTGATGCACCCTGTCCTGTGAGGATGTCACGGCCATCAGCATGCACAGGCTGAGTGCCCGAGTGCCTGGGGACAGCATCCCAGGCTCCCCAGGACTCAAAAGCCGCGATGGAAAGACAGAGACACGGGCCAGGGGCCAGGCTGGCTCCCAGGGAGACCCTGGGTCTGCAGGGTGACTGCCTTCAACTCTGGGTTTGGTGGGTTGTTCCACAGAAACTCTCCCTGAATATATTTAACTTTCAGAGTCCCAGATTCCCTAAAGGACGCCCTCACTTGTCTGGCTCAAAAACTGGGTTCTCGTCATCCTATTTCAGGGGACATTTTTTTGGAAAGCAGGCTGCTGGGGCATGCTTATCCCCCTGGCAATGAGCCACTGCGGGAGCACTGGTCTCAAAGGCCTGGCAAATGGTTTCCAGGGTTTTCTATTCTCAGACCACATCTCCTCACCAGCTCTGTGTCCCTTCCCGGCACGGCAGGGCCCAGTAGTACAGCATCATCTCCTGGCTCTGAGCCAGAGTGTGCCCAGCAGCACTCAGCACTGTACAGGGAGTCTGTGGGAGCCTGCAAGCCCCCTCCGCCACACCCCTACCGGAGCAAGGAGGGAGATTATCAGGCAGCAATCAGTGTTGTTATTATTACCCTGATGTGTAATAAATCTGCGTGGTGCAGTAAATTAAGGCAAGGCTCTGTTCTCACTTTACAGGCTGCCAATAGTTTTATTGTAACAGCTCGAAGAAGTGAGTTTTCCTTTTTAGGCAGAGTAGAGGAAGCTGTGAAATTCAAAGAGCGAACAAAAGGACACTCCCCACAGTCGGAGAGACAGGTACTATCCTGGAGCCAGCTCCTCAGGACGTCCGACACCTACTATTTTTGTGTTCAGTGGTGTTAGAGTGTGGTGAGGCCTTTCTGAGCCCCCCAAGAATTCATTTGAATTCATTTTCATTTCAATGTCTCGCTGCTGTCTTCCTCCCGCACGCACGGGACTCGCAGGCTTTCTTTCGGTGATAAACCTGAGCTGATTATAAGATCACAAATGGGTTCTGGAACTCATTAGAGTCAGCAAATGAGCATCAGTGAGATACTTGCTTGGACTGAAATGGGGATCATCTGTCCAATTCGGCAATTAGCGCTCAGGGGGTGAAGAGCGGGGCGGTGAGAAGGCTTCCAGCTCCCAGCAGGATTACCATCCTTTCAGATGTCTGTGGAGAGAGAGGCTCCTGCCCTGGCTTTTCTTCCTTCACACCCATGCACCCCCAGTGCAGAAGGCAAGGGAAGCCCTTGAGAAATGCTTCACCTCTGCCCTTTGCCAAGTTCAAAGCCCAAGAGGGGTCTTTCATCACACCCCCTGCATACCTGACACTTCATTAATTATCATGATGGGGGGGCATGACCCCTCCTGTTTGGTAGCAAATTCTATTTCTCTTCTGTTTTAGAATTCAGCCCTTTTTATTTATTTTATTTTTTTTGTTTTGTTTTCACTCAAATGTTAGCCATGCAAGGTTTCTTAAACCTCTGGTTATTTTCCCCTAAACTGAACATACAGGGAGCCAGTGCTCTGCTTTATATGTCCTGGTACCCTTGAACACATGAAGCTGTTGCACACATGGTTGATACTCGATATATGAAGTTAATTCATTGACTTTCAAAATAGTCTTCTAGCACATTCTACAACCACCAGCTCTATTCCTCTGGTTAACCTCACCATCCCTATACTGCCCCCAAAAAACTAGGCCCTCCTTATGTCCTTCCAACCAAAGCTGAGTCCCTCGGGAACCTTCTCGGCAAAACCCTAGGACTCACCCCTTGCTCCTCTTTAAAAAACATGACACTCCCTTGCTTGAGCCTCAGTTATTAGCAGCAAATGCTACTGCAGAAAACTTCATTCTCCGAGTTGGAGTATTCTCATGAATTCTATTTTTCTCTCTTAGCCATCCCCTTAACACATTCTACCTCTGGTTAATCTAGAACCAGTCCAATCATCAGAAACTGGAAAAACTGAGGTCATAATTTGTGAATCTGGTTTGAGTTTGCGATTTGGTCTTTCAGCTCAAAATTAATATTGTAAATTTGCTGGGAGAATGCTTTCCACTTTCTGGACCTGAACTAGCATTGTCTACACAAATTTGGTATCTGGCTTAACTCATTAGTGAAAGGAAAAGGACATTTCCAGCTCCTTTCCTGGTCTTTCCTCTACCCCACTACTGTTCCCCACCCCTCAGCCCACCTTTGGACACACACACACACACACACACACACACACACACACACAGGCATACGAGTCACTGAAGGTCAGGAGGATAGAGCTGTTCCTTGCATTTCACTTAGGATGTCTCATTGTTTGGAAATTACTAGTTCTCAGGCAGAAGCAGACGTGGACAGAGTTAAGGGCTTTTGCTCAGCCATATAAAGTGGCACAAACCCAGGCTTTCCTCTTCCTCTAAGGCTGCTCTGGCATTCGGTCTTCCCTGAGGGGAATAAGCAGATTCATATTAACAAGCATGTACGGAGTGCTGACTTGGTACCCAATACTATAATTATTGTCCCTTGTACTGTCTCAAATTTCTTTCTTCATATTCTTTGTTGTTTTTTTTTTTTTTAAACTCCACTCTTTCTCTTTAAAGCAGGTATTAGTATTCTCATCTAATAAATGAAGAAGCAGGGGCTGGCATGGGGGTATAGCTGGTAAAAACGCTGCCTGCGAAGACACCAGTATTCCTTAAGGGAATTTGTGCCCTGCCTGCTCCACTTCCAATCCAGCTCCCTGCTAGGGTGTCTGGGAGAGTAGCAGAAGATGGCCCAAGTGCTTGGGCCCTGCCGCCCACATGAGAGACCCAGAAGAAGCTCCCAGCTCCTGGCTTCAGCGTGGCCCAGTCCCGACCATTGCAGCCATTTGGGGAGTGAACCAGTGGATGGAAGATCTTTCTCTTTCTGTCTCTCCTCCCCCCACCTTCTGTAACTCTGTCTTTCAGATAAATAAAATAAATCTTTTTTTTTTTTTAAAAAGAGAACCTGAATTCTATCATCTACAGAGTACAGCAATCCTGTCACAACAAATACCATTGTAAAGAATAAAACTTCTTGTTAACAAAACCCAACTCTAGAACCATCTTTGGCTTTTGTCTTCCATCCAGTAAACACTCAAGGGATGTTTTGTAAACGTTTACCCAAATTTCTCTCTGAAACTTTAAGGCTTAGGACATCTTCAAATTGGGTTTAACTCTTAATCATCAAGGCAAGGAGTAAGAAGCCTGATGCCACTCTAAGACGGTAGCTGTGTATATTCCTGTTCCATGGATAGAAAGTCTGAAAGTTGTGGTCAGTTTAGTTTATTGGAAACACAATTGAAAGCACAATATCATGGACATAAGAAAAAAACTATATTTTTAACAGAATCATAATGTCAATTTTTAAAAAGTAATTAGGTTTGTAAATAAACATCTTTCCTATCTGCGTCAGTTACCATTCTAAAATTTTACATGTCTTTTTGATCATTTTCACATGTATTATTTAATCTTCACACGAGTTTGCGAGGTAAATGTTATCCTAACTTTACACACAGGGACACTGGGCCTGGTACAGGATCCGAAATGACTCACAGAGCGTGACTCCAGAGCCTACTTGTTTGGCCCCCCGAAGCACTGTTGCATAAAATACAGGACGCCCAGTTACATCTGAATCTCAGATAAACAAATCCTAACTATTACATGGGACATATTTATACTGAAAAGGCATTTGTTGTTTATCTGAAATTCAAATTGCACCAAGCATCCAAATCTCACAATCCTAACTGCAGAGGCCTGCTATAGATTAAGGTAGTGGGGTTGCTTAATGTGTACGTTATAGGGCTTGAGTTCCTAACTGAGTAAATAATGTTACTTGGCTTCCACAAAGCAAGGCAAACCCTCATGGATGCCTTTTCCTTCCACTTACTGAGGGCTGGGCGTCTGACGACAGTCTTCTCCCTGGTAGCACAGCTGAGTGCAAGCTCTTTCCTTCCAGGTTCGCTGCCTGTCAGCACCTTCAGGCCTCCTGCCTACCCTGGGCTCTCCTCAGTGGTCCGCTGTGGTCTGCCTGACACTCAACATTATCCAACATTGCTGCAGGAATCCTTGACTCTTTCTAGGAGCTGGAGAGCTTGCATGGCTGAGGAGCTGCTTCCTTCCTCGTGACAAGGGTCACAGAAGGTGATGGCAAAGAATGAGCTGGCTGGAGTGTGGCAGAAATGGACCCTCATATCAGGTCTGCTGTGTGAAACATGTAAGTAGGCAATGGCTAATCACCAAACAAGCCACTCTAGATTATCTGTGTGTACTCTTCATTCTGATGTCATTGTCTGCAGTGCAAACGTGCACCTGCTAGCTGCCTTCTTTGACCACCTAGACAACTGAGCTGAAGAAGTGGAACCTGCTTTTAATGACCACCTGGAAGCCATGCATTGTCCCTCGGATCACACAACACATTACAAAACAAATGCCAAGGACTTTGGAAGGAGCTCATCTTTGTTAGTGGGTAACTGAAAAGTGACTGTCTATTTACGAGCCTGGATATTTGTAGAATTACCTCTATGTCAATATTTAAAATATTGTTAATAGCATGAATTGTCATGTATGCAGAATGAAATATAATGTTAGTTACAATATTTTTTTTGACAGGCAGAGTTAGTCAGAGAGAGAGACAGAGAGAAAGGTCTTCCTTTTCCATTGGTTCACCCCTCAAATGGCCGCTACAGCCGGCCCACTGCGCTGATCCAAAGCCCGGAGCCAGGTGCTTCCTCCTGGTTTCCCATGCGGGTGCAGGGCCCAAGCACTTGGGCCATTCTCCACTGCACTCCCTGGCCACAGCAGAGAACTGGACTGGAAGAGGAGCAACCGGGACAGAATCCAGCACCCCAACCAGGACTAGAACCCGGGGTTTTGTCATTATGTGCCAAAATCTAGGAAAAGCACTTTACATACATTATTCATTTTTACTAAAGCCCTATGAAATGCGGCACATTTTTAGGACCATATTACAGATAAAGAAACTGAAGCTGCCCAAAGTTGCACAGTTGATAAGTAGCAGAAACTTGCACTTAACCCTCTAGAGTCTCCCTGCATAGACCACACACTTAATTACTGCACAGCAATGCTTCTACATCATAGGAGCTGGAGATAGAACCTCTGTGGTAAAGAAGTTATTTTTAAAATTTTCAAATCTGTTACTGACTCTTGCTTCCAAGGCAAAAGTGCTTGTTCTCTATGTTAAGTAGTAAAGAATGTCCAGGAGGAGGAGAAGGTGGGTGGTAGACAGCCTAAATGGTACGATTAAATTAGGTGCTGCAAGATTAGTAGACAGCTTATCCCCGTGTGACTCACCGCCCAGGCTGGACAGCACCTCAGCTGGTCTATGGCCTGGTTCAACCAGACAAGTTCACTAATCACTTCCTCAGCTATCACAGCCATGGCAAGTTGCCAAAGGAGAGTCGAAATGCTTATTCTCATTCTCTGTACTTATCTCAAGGTCAACTGGTAATAAACAACTTGTGGATGAGCACCAGTCTGTGGAACACATTTTGAGTAGCACTAATATAGATAAGATCAGCTTAGCACACAATTAATTAAAATACATAAATGACTAATGAATTAGATGGCTGGTTTATATTCTCTTCCCTGTTTTTTTTTTTTCTCTCTCTCTCTTTTCCTTCTCTATCTTTTCCTGTCTGTCAGACACACACACACACACACACACACTGCTGACTAATGCTGACATGTTTATTAAAAACCTACTACATTCCTGGTAATTTTCTAGGTCCTCAGAATACAATAATGAACAAGATGGGCCAAATCTCTTTTCTCAGAAAAGCTACATTCTAATCCAACCAAATCCATTTTGAGACCCCGGAATCTGGGTACCAGTCTGAGGCCTTGCCAATTCATAGCTCTATGCTTCTGTGCAATTCATTCGATCCCTCTGAGCAAGTTTTCCACTCTGCAAAATGAGGCCATTCATACCAACTTTAGTGGTGTGTCGTTAGGATTAGATATCATGGAATCACGCTGAAAGGCACAGAATGGCATACCAATGCCAAGTCATACTTTCACCATGTGTGCTTCCTGAGAGTGAAGGAAGACCACAGCTTTTCTGTCTCTGTGTCCTTAGTGACAAGCTTAAGTACTTGGAAAGTAGCAAGCCTCCGTTAGGGTTGGTTGAATAAATGTTCATAAGGTCCTATGTGCAAGGTACACTAACTGCTTAAAATACTACATACCTGTTCATCAACTGCTTCAAATTCAGTGTACTTCCAGGAAAAATACATGGAGTTATTCTAGGGCACGGTATCTGTAATCCTATTCTTGGATCATAGGTTTGCAAGAGTTCAAGCTCTAAAAATACACTTTCTAAACATTTATTAGATAGAAGCCTATTTTATTGATTGGTGTCACAATCTGAATGCCTTTTAAAAGGCCTTTTTCGTGCATTGATCCTAGAAGTAGTATGCTGGTCCTGCCAGTTCTGGTCCCCCCCCCCATGCTATCTAGGGTAACAAGCTATAGCTGAGCTGTAAAAGTCCCCTAAGGAGGGGAAGCATTTGGAAGGAATTCTCAGTCAACAATAACATGAAAAGAAATGTAATTAGCCTATTTCTCTTCAAAAGCTTGACTTTAGGTATGCCTCTTCCAGGGTGCAAAGGCATCCTCTTTGAAGATGAGCGATGTCACTATTAGAGGTAGGGGCATGAATGATTTTCAGACATCATAAAGGTGTACAGCTCATCCAGTGGCTATTTTTATGAGGTGCAAGATAGATGCTGCACGGGGCACTAACATAATGAAAACACAGTGATCTGCAAGCAGAAATGCCTAGTAATGGGAATAAAATGAATACACAAAATATACTGCAAGCCAGCATATCAGTGCCATGGGGGAGGCACACACAGGCATGGCGGGACTTCAGTGGTATGGAAAAATCAGGAAAGGCTCTAGGTAGGAGCTGCAATATGAGACAGGTCTTCAAGGATTTCAACAGATGTCGGGGCTCGTAGTGGGATGGGAGGCATTTGCCACAGGCAGGAGGATGGCTGAATGAGCTGGTTCTTTTGTAGAAAGGTGGTAGGAATTATAGCCAGTGGTTGCTATATATGTAAGGGTGTAGTGAGAGCTAAGGCTAGAAACGGGAGCTGGAGATACAAAACTTGGCCAATGTCAGATTGAGTAGTTCCTCAATAGTGGAACCACTCATGATCTGGCCACTGCTTTGGGAAGATGTTTGTGACAATAAAACAAGAAGGAACGAGGGGAAAGAACTAAGGATGAGACCAAATAGGAAAGAACAGTAAAAATCTAGACTGGAGGTAATCAATTCCTGATCTAGGGTAGTGCAATGGAGATAAGAGAAGAGGGGAACAGGGGCCCAGAGTTCTCGCAAAGCCGGTTAAGCAGTGCATGCCGTATGCGCACCTGTTCAATCCAACTCCCTGCTAATGTGCCTGGGAAGGAAGCAAAAGATGGCCCAAGTCCTTGGGACCCTGCCACCCATGTGGAAGACCTGGAAGAAGCTCTGGATCTTGGCTTCAGCGTGGCCCAACCCTGGCAACTGCGGTCATTTAGGGGAGTGAACCAGCAGATGGAAGATCTCTTGCTCTCTGCCTCTCCCCTTCTCTCTGTAACTCTACCTTTCAAATAAATTTTAAAAGAGAAAGAGGGGAGGAGGAGGGGCAGATTGAAGATCTATTGTGTGGGAAGTACCTATACGTCTGTACTTGTGCTATCCAATATGAGAGTACTTCAGAAAGTTCCGCAAAAAAAAAAAAAAAGATTTGAAAGATAAGTTTGTTTTGGTCCAAAAACTTTTGAAATCCATGCGTAGTTTTTTTTATTTTTTTAAAGATTGATTTATTTTTATTTGAAGTCAGAGTTTCAGAGAGAAGGAGAGGCAGAGAGAGAGAAAGTCTTCCATCTGCTAGTTCACTCCCCAATTGGCTGCAACGGCAGGAGCTGGACCCATCCAAAGCCAGGAGCCAGGAGTCTTCCCACATGGGTGCAGGGGCCCAAGGACTTGGGCCATCTTCTACTGCTTTCCCAGGCCATGGCAGAAAGCTGGATCAGAAGTGGAGCAGCCAGGACTCGAACCTGTGCCCATATAGGGTGCTGGCACTGCAGGCGGCAGCTTTACTTGCTACGTCACATCGCCGGCCCCCAAGCATAGTTTTTTCAAGTACATATTTTCCATGAATTTTTGAAGACCCCTTATAGGTAGGCACACAATTTTTTCCCAAAGATTTATTTATTTATTTGAAAGAGTTACACACAGAGAAAAGGAGAGGCAGAGAGGTCTTCCATCTCCTGGTTCACTCCCCCACTTGACCGCAATGGTCGGAGCTGTACCAATCCAAAGCCAGGAGCCAGGAGCTTCTTCCAGGTCTCCCGTGCAGGTGTAGGGGCCCAAGGACTTGGACCATCTTCTACGGCTTTCTCAGGCCACAGAAGAGAGCTGGATCAGAAGTGCAGCAGCCAGGACTTGAACTAGTACCCATACGGGACGCCAGCACTGCAGGCGGCAGCTCTACCCGCTATGCCACAGTGCCGGCCCCAAGGTACGGATTTCAAAAGTGTTTTGCAGGGCCCATGCTGTAGCACAGCACGTTGAGCTGCTGCCTAAGATGCTGGCATTCCATATGAGCACCAGTTTGATTCCCAGCTGTTCCACTTCTTATCTAGCTTCCTATTAATGCACGTGGGGAGGCAATGGATGATGGCCCAAGTACTTGGGTCTCTCCCATCCATGTGGCTTCAGCCTGGCCCAGCCCTGACCGCTGCAGCCATGTGGGGAGTGAACCAGCAGATGGAAGATCCCTCGCTCCCTCTCAGCCTCTCCTTCTCTCCGTAACTCTGTCTTCCAAATAAATAAATATAAAAAATATTGCTTTGCACCAAAATAAAATTATCTTTATGAAGGACACTCATAGAGTAGCCTCTAGCTACAGGCAGCAATTTACATCTAAACTTAACCAAAATTAAGCAAGGTGTAAAATTCAGTTCCCTGGCCACATCAGGCTCATTTCAAGCTGATGAGGGACTGCTGTAGTGGACTACGCAGAAAAAAAACATGTGCAGCTGGGTAGAATCTTCTACCAGACCGAGCAGATTGCTACGTTTTGGGGACCAGCTGTGCTTAAGGGTAAGGAGGTCTGGAACAGTAGCACTGTGAGCAGAAAAGGGGACTCCGGGAGGAGGAGGAGCTGGGTTTAGGGAGACAGATGTTTAGTTTCTGTCAGACACCAGGAGACAGGAGGGTCTACACAACTGCGCCAAGGTCATGGTGAAAAGAGAGGGTGGGGAAGGCCAAGTGCCCCACGGGGTATCTTAAAGTGGGGGAGGGAGCCAATTTCTAGTTGGCTTACCCCCTCCTGGGCTGTTGCCCCCAGTCTGGGCACCTCAGCCCCTCAGCCTTTCCCTGGCCAATGCACCCCCCCCCCAAACCGAGGCAAGCACAGGTGCGCGTGGGCTAGGCCGCCTGCCTAGCTCCGAGGTGTCGCCTTGTGGCCTGAGCTCTTTACTCTCACAGATCGCTTGCACTTCCTGTGCCCTCAGTGCCTCCGGTTTGATCCTTGGAAAGTCCCCACGCCCTGACTTCCTTTACTGCTTCCTCTTGAACTCCTCCTTCTCACAGGGACCACCACTGTTTAAACTTGTGCTTTCTTCCCTCCCGGATCAAATCCCAAGGCCCACTAGTGTAATCACTCCCTGGCAGTACCCTTCTCTCGCTTTCCTGGAGTTTCACTTGCAAAACACAGCCCCGTTCAAGTCCAGGTCTCCTCCAGCCCCAGCAGGGCAGTATGGCTGCCGAATGCATCCCACAACCTGAGTGGGCTCACTTGAAACGTGCAGCCACCAGCTCAAGAGGGCCCTCAGTGCTGTCCATGCTCCTCGGGCCACTCGCCTACACTGCAAGGGGGTTGATTCCCACCTCCTTCTATCTGCTTACATAGCCAACAGCCCCTGCCCACTTTTCATTGCACAGAGCAAAGGAAAACATACTGACTAGCTCTTACCTCTTCAATCCCAGCTGGGCAGCCAGCACTTGCAGCACTCAGTGCAAACTGGGGAGGAGGTGCATACACCTAGTGTGCGTGTGCATTGTTGTGTGTGTGTGGCTACTAAAAGCCTCACCCCTCTGGGTGGAGCAATTAGACAAGTTCGCCTTCCTCCAGGTTGATGTGGCCCCACCAGGCAGTGAGCTGAGCTCTCACCTGTCTGCTCCATCCTGCAGTGGCCCGAGCTTGCCGTTGCCAGATGTCCTGCCTGCTCACCTGCACATGCACCCAGACACTCTGCCTCCTCTCCCAGGGGAGTCTGCGAATGCATGGCCTTGCCTCTCTCTTAATGCCCCTTCATTCCTAGGCTGGGGCCCATTGCTTCTCAGCCACTTCAAGCCAGTCTTTCCCCAGTTGTCTCCTCTTGTCTTTTGCATCATTAGCTTCACCTCTCCCTCAAGGATCGCTCCAGCCAAGGCATCTCTCACCTTAAAATGCCCTCCCTAGGCCCCAAGCAAAGCTCCTTAAAGCGCTTTCTCTTCCTCGCCTCCCATCCTCCCCACACACTCTCAGCAGACTTTTTCCACTGTGACTCCTCTGAAGCTGTTCTCGTCAAGGTCATCAGCAAGCTTCATCAGGCCAACATCAGTGTTTAAGTTCTCAGTCTTCATCTTACTTATTTTGACAGTTATCTGATACGATTCATCACTCCCTTCTGCCTGAAACAATTCTCTTATCTTCCACCTGCCTGCTTTACTGGGGGCTCCCTCCCTTCTGCTCAGGAGTGACACTCGGTCCTCTCCTCTACCACCTCCCCCTCCTCTAGTGACTCTAAGTAGACAGAAGGTTATAAAGGCATCTATGTACTGATGAATCCCAAATGCTTATATGCAGACTCCCCTATCCAAGTGTTTACCCAAAATCTCCACTTGAACCTTAAGCAGAACACCTGCAAAGCAGGTATCTAGATTTCTCCCACCCCTAACTTTCTCCCCTTTGTGCCTTCCCCATCTCATTAAATGGCTCCAGGATTACCAACCACCAGGCCCTAAACCTAAGAACCATCCACGATCGTTTTGCTTCCTCACACACTGTCCCCCAAGTCCAAGTCAATGCCCGTGAAAGTGTGTGCCTAAGTAAGATTTGGGTGGGCGTTTCTCATGACACTTTGGGACACCTGCATCCCATATTGGGAGGAGAGCCTGGGTTCAAGTCTCAGCGCCAGTCCCAACTCCAGCTTCCTCTAATGCACATCCTGCAGAAGCAGGCGATGGCTCAAGTGCTCGAGTCCCTGTCACTCATGTGGGTGACCTAAATTGAGCTCCAGACTCCTAACTTGGAGGCCTGGCTCAGGAGAATCTGTTGCAGGCATTTGGGGAGTAAATCAGTGGGTGGAAGATCTTCTCTCTGTCTCTTTCATTCTGCCTTTCAAATAAAATAAGCAACTAGCACATTTTTAAAAACACAAAATTATTTTAAAAAATAAATAGCGCTGTTCTCACCACACCCACTAAGGCCATCCTAGGGCAAGCTACCACCAACCACCTCACTTCCTCGGTAGCCTCCTGCAGACTTTCGTGTTCTCTGTTGTGTGCTTTACACACATCAGCAAGATTAACTTTTAAAAATCCGAACCGTAGCTCACCCTCCTCCATGGCTTCCCGTTGCCCCGCAGGGTCTGGCCCCTTGCCCACTGCACTGAGCCTCGCTGCTGGCTTCTAACTGCTCCTGCCCACAGGGCAGGCACATCCTACCTCTGCAAGTGTGGCTGATTGCCTTATTTAAGCTCCAGGTGCTCCTCCCCCGGCCATCCCCCAACTCAGGTTTGCAGGGTTCATTCCATCAAGTCTGTATGTGCTCAGAGGTCTCCCAAGAGAGGCAGTATCTGACCCAACATCCACCCTACCCGCTGCTCCACTTGCCCCACACCACTTAAGACTGCCTGCAGTTGCGGTCACTGCTGTGTCTTCTGTCTCCCTCTCCCAATCCACTAGACTGCAAGCTCCAAGCCAGCCTTTGCTTTATCCGCTCCGCCTAGGGCACTGCCCGGCATCTAACTGCTGCTCAGTTAGTACTTGTGGCATGGTTGCGTTCTCTCCAATTTCTGTTCCTCCTGAACCTTTACAGCCGTCCTCATTTCATATCCGGCTCCTCTGCAAATGTGAAACTCCGCGCGCTTTCCCAGCAGTCGTCCGCTCTCCCTACCCTTTCCTGAGCAGCGGCTCCTTTAAGCGGACTCCGGATTTCCCCCCTCCCACCAGGGAAGGCGGGACCAAAGCCTGGCCGACGCCGACCCGGAGAGGCGGGGCGGAACTAAGGGGGCGGGACATGCGTCCTGCGTGCGTGCGCGTTCTGGAGGCGCCGCCGCCGCCGCTCCCGAGGCCGCCGCCGCCGTCGCCGCGCAGAGCCGGAGCCACGGCCGAGAGGAGGGAGGAGGAGGAGGAGGAGGTGGAGGAGGCGCCGGACCGGGGGGGTGAGTGAGGGGCGGGGAGCCCCAGCGAGCCCTTGAGGGAGCAGGGGGCGCGGGTCGGCCGGGCCGGGGCAGGGGCGGCTCATGTCGCCGGTCAGTCCCTGGCTCCCCCTTCCTGCTCAGCGTTCGCTCCGTGTCCGGGGCGGCGGCCCGGGGGCCTGGCCGGCGGGAGGGGCCGGAGCTCGGGAGGCCCGGCCGCCGCCGCCAGGGCCAGAGCCAACCACGCCCGCGGACCGAGCCGGTCGAC